AAAGAATCTGTCGAAGAATCTGTGCAACAGCTCACCGAAAATATCTTGGACGCTGCTAAAGTGAGTATCCCTGTTTCAGGTTATACCTCTCCCATTAATATAAAGCCCAGAGTGTCTTGGTGGAATGATAGATTAGAAAGAGCATTGAAAGAAAAACACCATGCACTTAACATATTTAAAAGATACCCTACACAAGAAAATCTTATACGCTTCAAAAAATGTAGAGCTAATGCGAGGAAAATTTTACTCAACAGCAAAAAAGCATCGTGGAAAAATTATGTTTCCTCAATAACCTCTGAGACCCCGACTTCAGAAATTTGGTCAAAGATAAGAGCTATAAGTGGAAGATCATTAACTCTACCAAGTTCTATTCTCATCGTTAATAACCAAGAAATATCCGAAAAGAACGAAATCTTGAATACTTTGGCACAACGATTTCAAATAAATAGTGGGACTGAAAGATATGCTGACAACTTCATCCAACAAAAAAATGAAGCAGAAGAAGTGGGAATTGACTTCGACGAGGAAAATATATCTGAATATAACCTTCCTGTAACTTTGGATGAACTGGAGTACGCACTCGCTGAGGTCAAAAGCTCTTCACCTGGTCCAGATACTATACACTATGAAATGATACAACACTTACCTGTAAGTGAAAAACAAAAACTACTAGAACTATATAACAAAATATTGATAGAAGGTACTTACCCAAAACAGTGGCAAAACGCAATCATCATTCCTATCCCGAAAGCTGGTAAAGACAGTAAGGATCCCAATAACTACCGCCCCATATCTCTAACATGCTGCCCAAGTAAAATACTAGAAAAAATGTTAAACTTAAGGCTTATATGGTACCTAGAGAAACATGGATTATTGTCAAAATATCAAATGGGTTTTCGTAGGTATAGATCAACAACAGATCAGCTAGTCTATCTGGAAGCAGCCATTCAAAAAAGCTTTGCTAAAAGGCAACATACAGTAGCAGTATCATTTGACATTGAAAAAGCATATGACACTACATGGCGGTTTGGCGTACTGAAAACACTGCATGAATGGGGAATAAGAGGATACATACTACGTTTCATTGCAGGCTTCCTAGAACACAGGTATTTTAAAGTACGTATTGGAAAAGAACTTTCAGCATCATACAGACAAGAGAACGGTATTCCCCAAGGTTCAACTCTAAGCGTGACCCTTTTTCTTGTGGCTATAAATAAGCTAATCGAAAAAGTGCCAATAGAAGTCGGGAAATGTATATACGTTGACGACTTAACAATATTTTTACTGCAGACAAAATGGAAGATATAGTAGGTACTTTGCAGACATCCATAAATACATTAGCTTACGAGGCCGAAAAAATGGGTTTCTCCTTCTCTCCACAGAAATCAGCATGCATACATTTTTGCAGGCTAAGGAGACATCATGACCCACCAGCTCTGACTTTGAAAGGCACACCAATAGCTAACAGACACCATATAAACATATTAGGCATTACCTTGGATGATAAATTATACTGGAAGAATCATATAGAGGAACTCGTAATCAAAAGTAAAAAGGCCTTAAATATTATTAAATGTCTCTCAAGCATCAGTTGGGGAGCAGACAGGGATGTGTTGCTCTCATTATATAAATCAATAGTCATGTCCAAGTTTGAGTATGGAGCAATAGTATACTCAGCAGCAAGACAATCCCATCTAAGTAGATTAGAGAGAATACACAAGGAGGGTATACGGTTATGCATTGGTGCCTTCCGGACATCACCGAATGCGTCCGTTTTTTGTGAATCAGGCATACCTCCCTTAAGCTACAGAATACAGCAGCTGCTACTGAACTATAGCGTAAAAATATGGGCACAACCCCAGCACCCTAACCACAATATATTATTTGAGGAAGAAGAAATTTCAATTTATCGGTCTAGACCATCCATCACAAAGCCCGCAGGTGCCCGCATCCATAAGCTACTCGAGGATTTAGAAACTCAGATGCCCCCAACCTATAGTCTTAAATACATAGATTGCCCTGTATGGAGGCTGTCACTCCCAGAAGTTAACTTCGAATGCGCCAAATACAAAAAAGGCCACACCAATCCTACATTTTATAAACAGACATTTCTTGATATAATTGGTAAATACCAAAACGTAAGGAGAATAATTTATGCGGATGGGTCTAAAACCGAAGGGGGCATAGGATGTGCATTAACAACTACGGAGATAACCCGCAAATGGCGCCTAAGTCCAATGGCCTCAATTTTCTCAGCGGAATTATACGCAATACTTCAATCCCTAAAATTGATTGATGATGAGGAACAGGGCTTATACATAATCTGCAGTGACTCTTTGAGCTCACTGCAAACTATTTCTGACAAATTCAGTAAAAACCCCTTAGTTCAAGAGATTCTCTTGACCACCTACCAGCTCCAACAGAAGAAATCACAGGTCATATATGTGTGGACGCCAGCACACGTAGGAATCCATGGAAATGAAATAGCAGATACAGCTGCCAAGGAAGCCACAATGGAAGAATACCTCAACATACCAGTCGTGCCTGAAGACGTGAAAAAATTCATGAGGTTGCAGCTACTTAATGAATGGCAGCAAGAATGGAACTCAACAAACCATTTTTTGAAGACGATCAAGCCGAACGTAACAAAATGGAATCTTCCCCATCTGACTCGTAGAGAGCAGGTCGTAATTACGCGAATGAGAATAGGTCACACAATTCTTACACATTCCCACATACTTTTAGGTAATCCACCACCAAGGTGTGAGACGTGTAATGAATTGCTTACTTGGAAGCATATACTGATCGAGTGCCCATCATACATAGCTGCTAGAAGAGCACACAACATAGCTGGTGATTTAAAAGGTTGTTTATCCTCTAATGCCAACGTAGGAGATACATTGAATTTCCTTAAATCTACCAAGCTTTTCCGTAAAGTATAACGTTATTAAATAAGATACTACTATGTAGAAATATATTAGATAGCTGTAGGTCTATGATAGATAAGGAAGCACTGGTGTCGGATAAGTAAGTAAATACAGGGTACCCACGCGTATGTGGGTATTCTTATTTACATTTTTTTTTCTGTGTTTGTCTGTAATAAGTTAATTTATATGTTTGTTCTTCTTTTTTTATGTATTCAAAAAATCTGAGCTACATCACATAACATCCGAATCACCCAGATTTACCCCTGTGGTGAATGTGGCAATTGACCATATGGGCAGGAGGAAAGCGGCTAATGGCCTTAGCAGTCGATGCCGCTGTGGGCTTAAAAAAAAAAAAAAAAAAATAAAAATAATAATAATAATAATAATAATAATAATAATAATATAATAAGAATAATAATAATAATAATAATAATAATAATAATATAATAAAAAATAATAATAATATATATAAATAATAATAATAAAATAAGAATAATAATAATAATAAAAAATAATAAAATAATAATAATAATAATAAAAAATAATAATTAATATAATAATAAAATAATAAAATAAAATAATAATAATAATATAATAATCATATAATATAATAATAATAATATAATAATAATACTAATAATAATATATATAATAAATAATAATATCATAATAATAATAATAATCATAATATAATAATATATAATAATAATACTTAATCATAATATCATAATAATATATATAATAATAATAATATAATATCATAAAAACTAATACTTAATAATAATAATAATAATATATCCTATATAATTAATATAATAATACCTCCGCCGGGGGTATCTCTTTTGAAGCTGGATCTTTGATCCGGTTTTCCGGGCTACATGGGGAGCGTCGCCCCCCCGGCCCCAGGCAGGGAGTTCGGGGTTTGGTAGTCTTATTCATTCTGCCAAACCTGGGCTTTTCCTTCCCCTTTCTCCCATCCTTCTCCTTTCATTATATCCTGTGCAGCTGTCCGCTGCCCTCCCGACTTTCCTTGTCCTTTCCTTCCCCCATGCGTTGAGGCGGCGCGTGGGGCTTCCTCTTAGCCTCCCGGGTGTTTGTGCCGTGCCCGGCGACCCGTAAGCTGGCCAATGGAATCCTGGTGGTTGAGCCCTACCAGTCAGGGGGGCAACACGCCACTTTGGTCCGGCGGTCAGTCTAGAAGGGCGGCCGCGCCTAGCCCAGCGTCGGTCAATCGGCTGTGCCATCCCGTCAGAGGGCTGGTTGGGCGAGCCTCCACAGGTAGTAGAAGCCAGACGGGAATAGTTCGCTATGCTCGATGTATGGTGGAGCTACCTGTGGGGACTATACCTCCTTTTCCTAGGATTAACGGTATCCCTGGGGTTATGTCCTAGCGGAAGGCGATTATGGGCATAACCTCCCATTGAGGCTCCGTGGAGGGTGGGGAGCCGGGGAGGTGAAGACAAACACAATACTATGGGAGACAAAGTAAAAACAAAAGGTGCGCCTACCTCCTCAAATGTAGGCAAAAACAGCGAAGGTGGAGCTACATGCAGAGCTACCACTGGACACAGTAATATTACCAAGGGGTCGGCTGGTCCTACCCCCCGATTCCTGGTAATAAAGAGAAGATGGCGATAATTTCATGAAAGTAAGTCCATTTCTGATATCAAAGACGTTATGCGGCTTGATTGGAGAATCCAATTCTGTGAAGAAAATTAAAGCTGGGCTGCTAGTTGAAACAAGAACAGATGGTCAAACATATCGATTGTTGAAGGTAGAAAGTTTTGCTAGTTTTCCTGTTACCGTTGAACCACATGCCTCTCTGAATTCTAGCAGAGGCGTAATCTACTGCAGGGATTTATTAAACTGTTCCGAAGCTGAAATTATGGATGAGCTAAAATCTGAAGGAGTAATAAAGGTACAACGTATAAAAGTAAAGAAGGATAATGAACTACAAGACACTCCAGGCCACATAATTACATTCAATTCTCCGAACATACCACAGAGACTTAGTTGCGCGATGTACAAACTACCTGTTCGTCAATATATCCCACCCCCTGTACGCTGTTTCAAATGTCAACGGTACGGCCATACCTCGATATCATGCCAAGAGGAACAAATCTGCATTTGCGGTAAGAAAATACACACTGGAAAATCTTGTGATCAGCCCATAAAGTGTGTGAACTGCAATGGTCCTCACGCAGCAAACTCCAAATTATGTCCAAGGTATAAGACAGAATCAGCTATACAGAAAGTTATTACTATCGAGAAAATGAGTTATGCTGAAGCTAGAAGGAAGGTAGTAATCCCTACCCCGCAAGCAAATTTATCATATGCACAAGCATCTCAGAAGCGCCCAGACGATGAAATAATAGAGAAGATTATACCACGTCTAACAGCTATAATTAGAACGTCGATCTCGCAAGCCATAGAAAACAAAGCAGTATGCAGCAGCACACCCCAGCAATTTGTCGCTCCATTGCCAAAGATAAGTCATGGGATTGCGTCTAGAACTAGAAGTCAATCAGATGCTTCTAACTCGTCTAAAAGAAAAGCTACATCTCCTGTAGATGGATCGGAACTTTCTGATGAAAGTCTCACCTCGTCTCAGACTGACGATCCAGAAGCAAAAAAGGGTACACGAGGCTGGAAAAAAGGCAGACCTCGTAAAACAAATAAAACCGCACTGTTTCAGTCGGAACAACCCGTTCAGAGTGATGATACAGAGCGTCCCAATCAACAGAACTCCGAAACTGAGCAGTTGTCGGAGACTGTGATACTTCTGTGATAAAATTAACTGTGATATTTTGATAAACTTATAATGTACTTTTCAATTTATTTACTTGTTTATTCATTAATTTATTTACTTATTTATTTGTCTATTTATATATATTTATTTATTTAGTCCCTCACCTATTTGCTTATTTATCTCTCATCATATAACATATGTAAATATCCTTAATCTTCTCCTGAACCTTGCATGTATAAAATAAATCTACTCTACTCATGCAATCCATCGTCCAGTGGAATATTAATGGGTGTGTTAATCACTATCCAGAACTGAAACTACTCATGCAGGAGAAAAAGCCCTTTTGTCTCTGTCTTCAAGAGACCCATTTCTCTCCAACCACGAAATTTCAGCTACGTGGGTTCAAATGTGTAAGAAAGGATGATACGCCGCAAATCCGTGCCAAGGGCGGCGTGGCAATATTTCTGGATGTAAATATCCCCTTTACAGAGGTCAACATCACATCCGAGCTTCAGGTTGTTGCTGTTCAACTAATAGTACCTATAAAATTGACCATATGCAACATATACCTACCCAATCAAAACTGGGAATATAATCAATTGAAAAGCATATGTGAACAGCTTCCCAAACCCTTTCTCTTAGTAGGAGATTTTAACTCGCATAACCCTCTTTGGGGCTCACAAAAACTGGACACCAGAGGGAGGATAGTGGAAGATATAATTAACGAAGCAAATTTAATGGTGCTGAATAAAGGCGAAGGAACATTTCTTAACTCTAGGTCGTGCAACTACAGTGCGATAGACTTGGCACTTTGTAGCCCAAGTGTATCATATCTCTTTGATTGGGAAGTTTTAGAGATGATCACTCATCTGACCATCTCCCAATACTACTTAACTGTGCCGTACAAAATACAAGTGTTCCACTTGCAGAAAGGTGGATGTTAAAAAGGCAAATTGGGAGAAATTTCGAGAACATTTGACTCCAATGCGAATAGGTGATTCAATATCTGAAACCGTCAGCAACGTTACTGACAGTATATTGAATGCTGCTTCCGAAAGCATCCCTAAAGCAAACATACAACCTGGTAAACCTATAGTACCCTGGTGGGATCAACAAATTGAAGAAGCCATTAAAGGCAAAAAGCATAACTACAATGTCTTCAAAAGAAACCCAACTCTGGCAAATATGATGAAATTCAAACAAGCCAGAGCTAGAGCACGGAGATTGATGTTAGCAGGCCAAAGAAATTCTTGGCAAAAATATGTATCTGACATCACTTCAGAGACCCCAAGCTCAGATGTATGGAAGAAAATCAGAACCATATCCGGCAAACACTTCGCCACACCTTCCCCAGTGTTACGAGTAGGAGGAAGAGAAGTTACGGGCGCTACAGAGATAGCCAACACGCTAGGCATGCACTTTGAAGAGATATGTTCCAATGACAACCTAAGCCTTGGGGCCTATCAAAGGAAGCTAGAAATTGAAAGCAATGCACTTGACTTTAGTGAATCTAACATATCGGAATATAACAACAATTTCACTCTTACCGAATTCGAAAATGCTCTTCAAGAGACTAACGACTCTTCCGCTGGCCCGGACTCCGTCCACTATTGCATGATACGCAACCTACCTGTAACAGAAAAACAAGCAATATTAGAAATGTTTAATAAAATATGGCAAACTGGTACTTACCCAGATCAGTGGAGAGAATCAATAGTGATACCTATTCCTAAAGCAGACAAAGATTCAACAAAGCCTGAGAGCTACAGACCAATATCCCTGACCTGTTGTCTGAGCAAATCCTAGAAAAAATGATAAGTCGAAGATTAATGTGGTTACTGGAGACACGAAACCTGCTAATAAATTCTCAGACAGGTTTCAGGCAGCACAGATCATCCGTAGACCACCTTATCCACTTGGAAACAGCCATACAGAACAGTTTTGCCAACAGGAGCCATCTGATTGCTATCTCTTTTGACCTAGAAAAGGCATACGATACCGCCTGGGGATATGGAGTCCTATCAACTCTCCATCAATGGGGAATTCGGGGACGGCTGCCCACATTCATTGCAAGCTTCCTTGCAAGCCGGTCGTTCAAGGTAAGGCTGGGGGACAAAGTATCTCATACGTACCTCCAAGAAAACGGAATACCTCAGGGCTCCACCCTCAGCGTAATCTTGTTTGTAATAATTGCCAACAACTTACTCCAGTGCATCGATGAATCCATTGGAAAATGTATGTATGTGGATGATTTAACGATATATTACTCGGCAAAAGAAATGGTCACGATGGAAAGTAAACTTCAAGAGACCATCGACAACCTGGTTGAAACTGCTAAAAGAAATGGTCTTAACTTTTCTAGATCAAAAACTACAGTAATCCATTTTTGTCGGCTAAGAACAGCACATAGGGAACCTGCATTAACCTTGGAAGGAAACTTAATCCAAGTCAAAGAAACTCACCGGATCCTAGGAGTAATCTTTGATCGTAAACTTACGTGGAAACCACAAATCGAGTCATTAGCTGTTAGATGCAAGAAAGCCCTTAACGTAATAAAATGCGTCTCCAGCATAAAATGGGGCGCGGACAGAGATGTCCTACTGACGCTATACAAATCGCTGGTAATGTCAAAAATGGAATATGGTATTGTAGCTTTTGCCGCTGCCAGAAGATCGCATATACGTACCCTAGAAGTCATCCATCGTGAAGGATTAAGACTGTGCTTAGGTGCGTTTCGCACTAGTCCATCCAGCTCGATATATTGCGATGCGAATACTCCACCTTGATTTACGCATATCGCAGTTAATGCTTAACTATGGAATTAACATATGGGCTCAACCCTCTCACCCAAACCACGATATCATTTTCAACAATGATAGCAGTGAAGAATACGACAACCGACCTACTATTACAAGACCATTCGGAGTCAGACTATCAGAGATTATAAACGACCTTGGCGCTGTTATCCCTGACATATACACTAAGAAACCAAGTGAAACTCCACCATGGATCGACACCAGGACGAATATTGTACTAGACTGCGCTATTTATCCAAAAAACATAACATCGGGATATGTTTATCTAAAAATTCAATGAAATAATAAGTAGATATAATACACCTGAAGTCATCTACACAGACGGAGCGAAAAATGAAAGTGGCGTAGGATCAGCTTTCACCACCCTAACAGAAACCTTTAAGTATAGTCTAAATCCTATTACTTCCGTATACAGCCGAATTGTATGCCATCTCGGCAGCTCTTAAATACTTGCTTGACAAAACAACCCGGTGTAGTACATACCTCATATGTACAGATTCAATGACCGCCCTTCAATCTATACGAAATCAACAAGCTAAGAATCCCCTCGTCCAGCAGGTGATTAATCGGTGCCATAAACTAACGCATAATTCGAACACAGTCGTATTTATTTGGACTCCAGGGCATGTAAATATTCCTGGCAACGAACTAGCAGATGCAGCAGCTCGTGACGCGACCCAAAATGGAACCCCCGTCAGCACCGTACTTCCTGAAGACCTAAAAGCCCATTTCAAGCTCCAGATACATCAACGTTGGCAAAATCAGTGGAGCCAAAGTATAAGTCGTTTGAGGATACTACAACCTACAATCGAGAAATGGAAATATCCGACAGGCCTAACTAGACGAGAACAAGTTGTCTTACAAGAATAAAGATTGGACATACTCACCTAACTTCATCACATCTTCTCCTAGGGCGAAGCCCAATACTATGCGATGAATGCCACTGCACTCTTACCGTAGAACACATCATCCTGGAATGTCCAAAATTTAACTCTAAGCGCCTAGAATGTTTTATACCAAGAAACCTGAAAGAATGCTTTTCAAACACAGAAACATAAACAACTTACTGAACTTCATGAAATCGACAAATATGCTACACAAAATCTAAACAAAAAATCTTCTATAAAAATCTTAAAATATTAGCTCCAACATAAATATCTCGAAAAATATGTATATGTGGGTATATGTGTATCAAGAAAACAATGAATCCTATATAAGAATGCATTGTTAACACAACTTACCTGAATTCTGTCTGGCACACCAAATATTTTACTAGGAACAGGACAAACTCAATGCTGTAGTAATTTACCTATGGTAAACACTCAGTTTTACCTCCATACTTGAATTAAGTAAATGGGATGATGCAATGAATTATTTATACTGTATGTGATTGTGTGCGTTCTATATATTATCCAACTCTCAGATCTATCCCTGAGATGCTAGGTTCAACTTAATGACCTCATGAGGCAGGAGGGAAGTGGCTAATGACCATAGCTGTCGATGCCACTGTGGGTTAAAAAAAAAAAAATAATAATAATAATAATAATAACAATTATAATAATAAGAAGTTGATCAAAAAAAATAATAATTAAATTATAATAATAATAGTTATAATAATAATAATAATAATAATATAATAATAATAAAATAATAATATAATAATAATAATAATTATAATAATAATAATAATAATAAACCCGTGTGGAGTTGCTAGTCTCCCATGGGCGCCTCCCTGTGCGAATTGGGAAACGCTCTCCAGATATGGAGAGTACCGGGGAAATAAAATACCCGGGGTGGACAAAAACTAGCACCACCGCTCTATGGGTTAGCACCCCTAGAACGTGTATATTTGAATGCTCTTAAAACAAGAAATAAGAGATACTCAGGCGGGCCGGCGCAGTAGGAGCCGGGTCGGAACCGTCTTGAAGATTTACCTGCAACCTACCGCGGCAGTGAACAAGGACCAACCAGATTACCAACCCAGTCGAGTACACACCACCACCAATCGTACCAAGCCAAGATGTCGGTGTTGCTGGGCCATCAGAGCCCATGCCCACCACGTCACAAGGCACAGTTAGGCAAAGAACAATGTGGACAGAAGAAATCAATGCATTCATGGTTCGCTGCTATTACAGATTAACCCGACTAGAAACCGCTATTACAGATTAACCCGACTAGAAACCGCCAAAACTCCATACAGCCGAGAACTAAATAGATTGGTAACTGAAAAATTTCCAATGCTTCGTCATAAGACCAGCGAAGATCTATATTTATAAATAGACGCCTACCACCAAATATTATTACACAAATAAAGCGTGAAGTTGCGTCAGAACTATCTATAAATTTACCTGCTGATCTCCGCAATGCTGACGATGAACCAGTGGCCCCAGTACCGGAGGCCAACAGGCCACCCGCTGCTTCTGAGCTGGAATTCGAAAGGATTCATTTGCTTTATGATGGAGTGGACCCTATGATGGAACCTAGACTTTCCAAACTAATTTATAATAACAAGACTAAACCTATATTGAGTGAAATCAACAAAATTCTGGATTCCAAAATAACAACTGATATACCCATCGAAAATCTACACAGCCTTATTTATAGTGGAGCAGCAACGGTGCTAACACTAAACAAGCAGAAAATCTCCACGGACACACAAATTAAAAATGTCTCAGTCACGCCAGCATGGCAGCGCCGAATTACTAATAAAATCGATAGTATCAGGCGGGACATAGGAATTCTGACACAAAATCAAAGCTTGAACCCCAGCAGCTCAGTCACTAAGAAAGCCAAGGCCATTCTTGGAAGGGAGCAAAGACTCGAAAACCCAACAGCAACAGAAATACTGGATCACCTTAAGCAAAAGCTCAAGGCTATGGCTAAAAAGCTCCGACGGTATAAGGAAAGTAACACAAGACGTCAACACAATAGTCAGTTTAGCAGGAGTGAAAGGAGCTTTTATAAAAATTTAGAGTCAGAAGATCACGAGCCTCAAACCCTGAAAGAAAATAAGGTCCCCACACCAGAGGCCACGAAAACGTTTTGGGAATCAATCTGGGGGAACCCTGTGATTCACAACAATACCAGATGGCTGTTTGATGAGAAGAGGTCTACATCTAGCCTCCAGACTATGTTGGAATGGGAAGTAACAACCGACCAAGTAACCAAGGCTATAAACAAGACCTCGAATTGGAAGGCACCTGGACAGGATAAATACAAAATTTTTGGTATAAACAATTCAAGGTCAGTCATCAACATCTAGCCAAATGTTATACTCACCTGCTGTCCAACCCTGAAGAACTACCACCATTCATGACCAGTGGTATCACTTATTTGTTACCAAAAACGAAGGTGTCCTCAAAAGATCCTTCCAAATATAGGCCGATCACCTGCCTTCCTACAATATATAAAAATTCACGTCCATCATATCGGAAAAGATATACAGCCACCTGGAAAGAAATAACCTGTTGGACGAAGAGCAGAAGGGTTGCCGAAAAGGATCCAGAGGGTGTAAAGAACAATTGATAATAGATACGGTCATCACATCTCACGCGAAACGCTCAAAAGGCTCTTTGCACACAGCGTATATAGACTACCAAAAAGCGTTTGATACCCAGCCTCATTCCTGGCTAACCGAGGTGTTACAGCTTTATAATCGAGCCCCATGTACTGAATTTACTGAACTACGCTATGTCTCAGTGGAAAACCAGAATTGTTTTAAACACCAATCAAAAAAGTGTAGATGCAGGCACCATTAAAATAGAAAGGGGAATATTCCAAGGGGACGCATTAAGTCCGCTATGGTTCTGTCTGTCGCTACGACCCTGACAACTATGTTGAATATCAAGAAAAAGTTGATGTCATCCCAATAGTGATCGGAGCCACAGGAGAAATACCTAAGAATCTACATAAAATATTGAGAAACTAAATCTACCGCAGAAACTATACCTCTCACTTCAGAAAGCTGCCATCTTAGGTAGTTATCATATAGCATGCAAGGTCCTGAATGTAGCCACATAGACAAAGAGAAACCAATAGTCACACTCAGACGCTT